TCAAATGAGAATGGAATACACAGAGATGAAGAGATTAACCTGGGTACAGTGGCTCACGCCTGGAACCCCCATAATCAGGAGAATTGCTATTTAAGGTCAGCCTGGACTAGTATGAGATGCCCTCTCAAAGCAACAACAACAGAAAGAAAGACATTAAATGATTCTCAGCTCCAAGAAAGAAAGAAATAACTGCCAGCCCCAACTGGCAAACTAGCATTGGGACCTGCCATGAGGCAAAAGCTGTGTGTCTGTAGTCTTGAAGCTGAAGGAGCAGAAACTATGGATGAGCAGAGGCTAGACAATGCAGTCAGAAGATGGCACAGTGGAGTGTCCTTGTGCCTTCTGAAAGATGAAGAAAACCAAACAAATCCATCAATTCCAAGCCAACTAGTTTACATGACATCTGAAGTGGCCCACAATTCCCAGATACACCAATCCCTCACAATAAACTCCTCATTCTTGAGCATGCTTTGAGTAGCCAAGAAGGCTCCATTAGAGTAGAGTTGAGCAGAAGGCTTTACCAGTGTTCTTGATACAGGAGGACGGCGCCAGGTCCTGGCTCATAACTTGGGTAGGTACAGTGTGCAGAGTTCTGAGCTTGGAGTCCGAGCCTTCCCCCTTTAACAGGTGTCCTTTGGTCACCTGCGCTTGTAGCGACAGGGCTGAAGTTTCAAGCCTGAGAGCTGGGCTTTGGGTCCTACTCGAGGAGGCCCAGTCTTTTCAAAGTCAAACAAGAAGAAGTGGCTGTTGGTCAGGTCCTTGTAGATGACCTTAAAGACAAGTTTGGTCACAGCCCCCAGAAAGGTCCGAATGTCCTCAAAGCGGCTGCTAACTTCAGCTACTTTGAGCAGACCCGCCAGCTTCAGCACTTGATTTGCTTCCTCAAGGAAGTCCCTGATGTTAGCTCACATTAGTGAAAGGCAAAACACAGCTACATCCACAGATTCATCCTCCAGAGGCACCTGGGCCATGTCACATACAGTGACCCTGGGGTCCTGAGTGGCCAAGTCAAAACAGTGCACAGGGTTCCGGACACTTGAAGCTAGGCGGCAATCTCCACAGCCAAAGTCAGCTACCACCAAGGATGCAGGTTTCTGTCGGAGATCTTTGGCAATAGGATCCACTGGGTGCAGTGGCCACTTTTTCATTTGTTTCTGAAAGCCCCGGTGATACAGGTGAAAAGCCTCGGGGTCTTCCTGGAAGAGGCGTTGGGCAGGTGAGTACAACTGTTCATTAAGGTATTGAAATTGGGCCCCATCCAGCCGTTGTGTCATGCGTGCCCGCAGGGCTCCGGCTCTAGTCTGCTGACCGTCTGACTCTGGGGCAGGAGGCACCTCAGTCTCCTCTGTGGAAGCCACGGGAGGAACCTGGTCTGGAGGAACCTGGTCTGGTGTCTGAAGTGGTCGAATCTTGTTCTTGTGTCTCTGCTTATTCTTCTGTCGGTTCTGCCACTGTTTGCGGCTCAGCGTATGTGAGGAGTCACAGGGTGTGGACTCGGGGCTTCGCTTGGGTGGGTCAACTGTGGCAGTACTTGTCCTCGAAGTGTGAACTGCTATGTGGTCAACATTGTCCAGGTGCTGGGTTGGGTGTGAATGAGAATATTTCTGACATTTCTTCTTTCATAAAGGAAAACCTTTAGCTGGGGCTGGCTTACAGTTTCCGAGGTTTAGTCCATTATCATCATGACAGGACATGGTGGCATACAGGCAGACATGGTGCTGAAGAAGGAACTGAGACTCCCACATCTTGATTGGTAGGTAACAGGAAGTGAACTGAACTAGGTGTAGTTTGAGCATGGGAACCTCAAAGTCCACTCCCACAGGGACACACTTCCTCCATCAAGGCCACAACTAATCAACAAGGTCACACCTCCTAATAGTGTCACTCCCTATGAGCTTATGGGAGCCAATTATATTCAAAGTATCATACCCTGTCTCCAGGGATGTGCCAGATTCTTTGATCTCAAATAAACAGGTACATTACATGCAGGATGTATATATACTTCTTTCTGACTCAAATGGTAGGTCTCCAACTGGTCTTGTTACAACCTGTGACCACATTTCTATTAGTAAATCTCCCAACAAGTTTCATTCTGTGCAATTTTAGATTTGTCTGCCTCTCCTTTTTCTTTAAAAAATACGTTTTTTAAATTTTATATATATGAAATTTTGCTATGTGCATGTATGTACACCATGTGTGTTCCTGTTTGATCCCTTGAAACTGATTACAGATGTTTATTAACCATCATGTAGGGGCTGGGAATTGAATCTGGGACTTCTGCAAAAGTAACAACTGCTCTTAACCACTGAGCCATCTTTCCAGCCTGTCCATCTCTCATTCATACGTCTTACACTATCTTGGGGAAGGTTTTCATACAGTAGGACCAAATTGTTCTAGAAAAGTATATTATGATAAAACTTGGTTTATAAACCATGTAGCACACCAGTGATTTAATACCCATACCTTTTCCTAATGAAAGGGACATGACAAACCAAGGATTAACATGTCTAGTTCGCTAATCCCTGCTCTGCATAGCAAGACATATACTAGAGTTTTAAAATCACAAATGGCTTGGTCTGGTGTTAACCAAGCTTTTATGCTCAACTACTTGGGAGACTAAGGCAGGAAGATCCAAGTTCAAGTCCAGGTTAGCCAATTTATGTGAAAATAAAGAGCAGATTAGAATTATAGCTCAGTGGTAAAGAGCTTGTCGTATAGGCCTGAGGCCCTGGGTACTTGCGATTCCTGGTGTTGTCAAAGGGGAAATAGTAACACCAAAGTGTGTATAATGTTCATTTAATAAACACTGAGCAGGATACAAGGACAATGTTAGGCTAGTGATATACCCCAATTGGTAAAGTACTTGTCTAGCCTCCAGGAAGCCCCAGTATTGCATAAAGTGGGCATTCTGGTACACACCTGAGTTCCAGCATTTAGGAGGTGAAAGCAGGAGGTTCAGAAGTCCAGGGTTATCATTGGCTATATAGTTAGCTCAAGACCAGCCTGAGACACATGAGATCCTTCCTCAAGTAAAAGAAAGAAGAAAAGAAGGAAGGAAGAGTAGGACATGCAGAGAGAGTAATGGGGAGAGAGAACGAATATGCATACGAGAATGCTAGGAAGAGCTTATGTGGTGAAGAGTGTGATGAGGCTTGGAAAACTATTTTTAAAAACAAACACACTTTCCTGACTTCTTTTCAGTTTTATCTGGGGCAATGTTGTTTTAGCCAAGTAGAGTACTACAGACTTCATTTTGAAGGCATAGCATTTTGAAGATAGTCTCGCCCAGGGCTCAGGAAGTTGTTTTGACTGGAGGGACATAGGTAGATTTCCCCTAGACCTGGAGTTGGGGAATATTCAGTGTCACCATTTTTACAGAAATGATTATTTCCTTTGGAAGGGACATACAGAGCCAAAGATTAAAATACCAGGGATATAGCTTTTGATACCTACATGTTGTGAGTAGAAAAGTAGGAGAGAAGGAATTTGGAAGGAGAGGTTTTGTAAAACAGATTTCCTAATGTTTTCTTGACATCCAAATTGCTTGGAGGGCTGGTTTTGAAATAGACTTGGAGGCATGTCATCCTTCACCATTCAGTGCTTTTCCTAGCCTTCTTACTAAGATTGAGCAGAGCCCACTTCCTTGCTGATTCAAATTTTGGAACCAAATATGAAGTAAGGGAGCCACAGAAATGAGAAAGGCCTTGCCACAGATTCCCAGAATATCATAGCTAGTTCACTGAGATACTTGAGTAGCACTTATGCTAGATCATTATAATTCCCAGGCCCAAGCCGCTCTGTGTGTGTGTGTTCACATGTGCGTGCCCCGTGCATGTAGAGCCAAAAGTCTGTGTTAGTGTCTTTATCCTTTTCTGTCTTCTTCTTTTGTTCTGCTTTTGATCTTTGAGACAGGGTTTCACTGTGTATCCCTAGCTATAGACAGCTGTAGACAAATTCTGTAGACCAGGCCACATCTTTTTGAGACAGTATCTAACTTTACCTATAGCTCATCAGTATGGCTAGTCTGACTGGCCAGTGAGCTTTGGAGATCCTGTTTTCTCCAACCCCCCCCCCCTCCAGCACTTGAGTTACACACACCACCACCATACCCAGCTTCTTTTACATAGATGCTGGTGATCCAAACTCAAGTTTCATGCTTGCACAGAAGGCATTTGCCAGCCTACTCTTCCCTTTAAAAATAATGGATGGTTTTAAAAACCAGTGCCTGTTCATTTGAGTTTGGGTCATCTGTGAGTAGAATTTCTCTTCCAATCTCCCATACCCATTTAACCACAAATGACTTATCATTTTGTCTAAGTCAATTTCATTACTACTTGTCATCTGAGTTTCTGTAAGTTAAAATGAAATCCCAAGGAAACTGAAAACCTTTTTAATCCATCTGTGAAGACATTGGAGAAATAAAACTCATCCAGTTTTCTAAAGTAATTGCTTTTCCCACATGGCCTGAAAAACACAAACTGGAACCGAGATAAAAGCTTTAGCCAGGAGGCATTGTAGTAAACACATGACCAAAGCCATGATGCTCCTGGGCTTGTGTTTTCCCCAAAGGACATCCAACAAGACACAAAAGTTTGAATACCGATCATGTTTGTGTACATCTGCTATCTAACTACTCAGGAAGTTCAGGAAGGCTTGCTTGGGCTATATTGCAAGTTTGAGACCAGTCTTGGCTGCATAGTGAGACCCTGTCTTAAAGATAATTCCCTAAATCCCAAAACAAAGAAAATTGCTAAATGGAAAGATTCAAGAGTTTGAACATAACTGGCAGAAATGGTTCTTTTCCTTGTCATCATTAGCATAATTTGTCTGTTAATTTGGCAATTATAGGTTGATCATCCCTAGTTAAATCTAAATTTCTCTCGAATCAGAAACTGTGCCCGCATAATGCCACAAGAGACGAATTTGTACACTTGACATTATACATTATACTTTGATAACTTACAGTCAAAATGCAGGTGAACTAAAAATAGTATACTAAAATCATCTTTCAGGTATGTATATGTGTATGAAACATGTAAAATGTAAATGTGTATCTATAAATATAAGTGCTTGCCATGAGTTAGCATTATTGTATTCATATTTATAATTAAGTTCCATTCCATAGGTATTTCATTTTTCATGTGTGTTTGTGTATGCAAATAGTCCAAAAATCTTTTAATTCCAAGTTCAAATATGTCTTCCTCCAAACATTTACGATCGATAAGAGATGCTCAGCCATCTTGTTCCCCTGCCTGAAAATTTGGCATTCAGAGGATAATCAGACCTTATTCTACAGCTGCTTGTGCTCTGGGAAGTCTGATTGATTGATTAATTGGCATTTCTAAGAATTTAACTGATACCATATTTTAAATGTTTCTGATGAGGTCTGTGCCTTTGTTGATTGGTCAGTTGGTTAATTGATTGCCTCTTTGGGTCTCTGGTGCCATATCCCCCTGTCTGATTTCCCACTTCACTTGTCAGTTATGGGATGCTGTCTTGATGCAAGAGCCTCCCACTTGTATTTGAACAAGGAATGTATGTGACTGCTAAGAATTATTAGGAATGTGGGAAGGGTGATGGAGAATACCAGGGGCTCACCTGGCAGACCTTTCTGTAGAATGTCTTGGGTGTCCTGTCTCCTAGCTTCCTGATGTTTACACAAAGATCTGACTAATACATCCCTCTAAGCTACAGGGCAGACTAGTTATCTGGAATTGATGATGAATATGTCTCCCCTTTCCCAGATCACTTTTGTTTATACCTGTAGCCAGTGCAGATGTACTCCTGGATGCCACATTCAAACCGTGAATGTGAAACTAGAGAGAACATGGCACTTATGGCATGTTGACATTTCCCCTTCCTAGAAACATAGCTCTGTTTCCAAGTCAGTGACCCTGGGTTCCACCCTGGAAGTTCTATGAATTAATTGGGCACTTTATAAACAAATTGGGCAGCTAGTTCTCAAGTGTGATTTTTAGACCACAGTATAGAACTACTCCTGTTCACTGTGTGTGTGTGTGTGTGTGTGTGTGTGTGTGTGTGTGTGTGTGTTGGATATGTATGCCATTTCATGCATGTGAAGGTCAGAAAAAACCCTCAGATACTGGTTCTTACCTTCTACCTTGTTTGAAGCGAGGTCTCTTTTTTTCCACTGTTGCATATACCAGGCTACTCACATACAAACTTCTAGGGATTCTCCTGCCTCTGCCTCCCACCTTAATGTACTTAACATAGGAGCAGTGGGATCATTGGTCTTCACACTAACACAGCAATTGCCTTAGCCACTGAGCTACCTCTCCAGTCCGTGTTGCTATTCTTGACAGTGTGCTGTGGATTATAAGCTTGTGTAAGGCATGTTAGAATTTTCCATCATGCTTAAGTGAGAGGAAGAAGTAATTGAGTGTCTTAATTATTTTTTTGTTGTAACAAAACACCATAAACAAGGCCATTTAAAGAAGTGTTTAAGCCGAGTAGTGGTGGCACATGCCTTTAATCCCAGCACTCAGGAGGCAGAGACAGGTGTATCTGTGTGAGTTCGAGGCCAGCCTGCTCTACAGAGCAAATTCCAGGATAGCCAGGACTGTTACAAAGAGAAACACTGTCCTGAAAAATTTTTTAAAAAATGTTTAATTAGGCTTATGATTTCAGAGGCAGCAGGAACATCTCAATACTCACATCTTCACCTGCAAGTAGAAGTCAGAGACAGGACACACTGGGAATGACACAGGTCTTGGGAAATCTCAAAGCCTGCCCCCACTCACACTAATCCTTCCCAAACAGTTCCACCAACTGAGAAACAAGTATTCAAATATATGAGCCTGTGGGGCCATCCTCACTCAAACCACCACACTCAGGCTCATTGTCTGTTGAAAACTTGTTAGTTCTATCATAACCTAGAGTTTTATAGGTGGCCTTGACACCTAGTAATCACTGAGTGTCCTTTCTAACTCAGAAGTCTAGACTATTCTGCATGAGCTGTGTGTATTGTGTCTTAGAAAGTAGTTGTATGGTAACTTTTATCATGGAGAACCATGAATGGCTCCCTTCATCTGCAGACCAGCTGTTGCATCTGTCTTAGATGCATGGCTCAGAGGAACTCCACACAAACCCTCTATTATACCATGGGATCTCCGTGCCTCTGATAACTTACAGCTACTCACTTATGGTTTGATCTGAAATGTCTCACATACAGCAAAATATTGATGGCTAGGGACCTAGCTGGTACAAAAGGGGCATGAGCCTTTGAAAGTTATTTCTGCCCCCTTATAGATCCTTTTTCTTCTGCTTATTGTTCCACTAGGATATGAAAAAGCCTCCCTCATATGTTCCCACTGCCATCGAATGTCTTTACCATGCCATCCCCAGCCAGGTATGATGGAATGAAATCCCTCTGAAACCAAAGAAAGTTTTCCCCCATATTTTATCACGTATTTTATTACAGTAACAAGAAAAATGACTAATACACTCCTGTGTGATACAGTATGGTCTGACACCATGTATCTGAAAGGATATGAAGCTTCCTCAGGCTTGTTTCCTGGTTAGATGACTTAAGGCTGCATACCATGAATCATGATTAGAAGTGCCTTCCAGTGAAACTTCAGATTAGATGGGACTCATATTTTACTAAGGCCTTAGACACCATGTCATTGCTAGAGCAATAACTGATGATGAATCAGAGTCCTGTTCTTGTCATTGACACCAAAAGCCAAGAATGGATGGAAAAGAAGACCCTGTAGTGTTTGCTCATTAACGAATCCAAAAGATTCAGAAATTTTCCCCATCACCTTGATAAAGATAGCTATAAACTGTTAGCAAACAATACTGAACTAATTAGTGATAGCAGCTGTTATTTCATCAAGGACTCAGCTATTTGCATCTTGAAAAAGTACCCTCCACACACACACACACACATACACACACACACACACACACACACACACACACACACACACCTGTGTATAACATTCTTTACAGTGACTGAAAGTGAGTGGCAGAAGCAAGAGTATTTACATACCTTTTCTTTTTCTTTTTTGGTTTTTCAAGACAAGGTTTCTCTGTTTAGTTTCTGTGTAGACCCCGAACTCAGAGATCTGCCTGCCTCTGTCTCCCAAGTGCTGGGACTAAAGGTGTGCGCTACCACTGCCCAGCTGGTATGTGTGTGTATAAATAAATATACATATATATATACATACATACACAAATACATACATACATGCTGGGTTGCCTTTTAGGCACTGAAGAAAAAAGCTTCTGGGTCATTTGTTGAGGTGCTTTGTGCTGGGTTGTGAGCAGAGTCTGAATAGAAATGAACTGTAAGACCACTTCAGAGTCCCATGCTAGGGTGGGACGTGAAGATTAGAATAGGGTTAGCATGTCTAAGGGCCCATGTGGTAAGGAGACATGTGTGCTTAAGATATGGCTGCAGGGAGCAGAAAACAGAAATTGAGAACATTGAAAGCAGATTTCTCAGCTGCTCTAGTGAGCAGATGGAGTCTGGAAATAAAACCGCTATTCCTCATGTGCAGAAACTTCACATTGAGTTCTGGGACTGACTGTCTGCACAGGAGGATCGGATATGTCAATTTAAATAATAGTGAGGTTAATAGGATTTCTAGAGCACTTGTCTGTTTTCCCCCATTGATGATGTGAGCATGCTATACCAGAATAGACATGTTTGTGCCTTCCTATAATGCCAGCACTTATTGAAAACAATAAATTCACAAAGTATGTCATCAGTTTCCTTGGCAGGAATTTACCAAGTAGTCCCATCATCAATGAAGAGTCTGTGGGAATGAGTATGATAGGATGAACACTGTTGAAGGTTTGTTGTGAGCCACGCTATAGAATTGGGCTTGAGTTAAGCCTCAGGGTGGAATTGAGCTGCAAATGTGAGGAGTGGTACTATGGAAACCAAAGAAGTAGGTTAAGAAGAAGAGTAGATACACAAATGGACAGCAGACAAACAAGTAGAGTGACAGCAGATCAAGTGAATCATCTCAACAGGAGGGACTGAGTCTCAATGAAGCTTCTGGGACACTCAAGAATGTTCTGCTTATTGAGTCTCTGATGCATATACTGGGTAATCAGATAATAGGAGAGTAGGGGCCATTAGGTGTCCTTTGAGAGCGTCTCCATTTTACCTCCATCTGGTGTGCCCAATAAGTTCTTGGACCAGATTTTCCTATGTGATTTGAAAAATGGGTTGTTATTGTTTTTTCTTTAGATTTGAAAATACTTTAATTGTGTGTCATTATGTGTGTGTGGTGTGGGGGTGTGGAAGGTGTATTATGTGCACATTAGTGTAGTGCCCACGGGCCCAGAAGCAACGGGTCTATCGAGAGCCGTACTTACAGGTAGCTGTGATCTACCATACATTGGTGCTGAGAATAGAACCTGGATCCTCTGTAAAAGCAGTATGCAGCATTCTTAACCACACAGCCGTCTCTCAGTCCATTTCTGATTGTTTTAAGATGACCGTGTGTTCCTATAGTCCCAGTTTACTGTGATAAATCTGTATGGTGACATACATTTTACTTTTAGAAATACATTATTGTCTTAAACTTTTTATTATGTTTGTGTCTTTCACACCATGCATCTCAATCCCATTCATCTCCCTGTCGCTTGATATCTACCCTTGATATCTGCCCTTGCCACCCCCCCACAAGTAAAGTAAAATAAAGTTTAAGGGGAAATAAGAAGAAAAAGATAGAAAAGTCCTGTTGCGTAGGCTGTAGTGTGACACAGTGAATAACACAGTTTACCCCTTGGTCCACATATCTACTTAGAAGTGTTCATTGATCTGATTTGAGGCCTCTGGCTTCTGCCACACTATTGATGCTGTGCCCTCAGTGGTGTTCCTCTCGGATATCCTGTTGTTGTGCTGCCTGGGTGAGGTGTAGGATAGTTTCTCCTGAGTACTTCGGCTGGTGACGGGCAAGAACATTTCTTCTAGTGTTGCAGCCATTGAGAGGCAGGGCCAACTCTGCACAGCCCTGTCCTCTCATCCTTCAGTGATTTCAGTGATATCAGGAGCCATGGACATCAACACAGACCCTAGTTACAACAGGGCCATGAAACCAGACGTGGGCCACTGCAGCAGCCCAGGCCCAGACATCAATCACCATGACCTTGGGTGACAGTCAAGCCACCTCACCGCTTTCCTCTTCAGATATGCCTCTGTCCACAGGACATAAACCATTCTCTCCGTCTCTGTCTGTCTCTGTCTCTGTCTCCTCTCTCTCCCTCCCTCTCTCCTTCCCTCCCCCTTCCCTCCATACATTTGCTTACCATAATAGTGCCTGGCTGCCTGGAGCCACAAGGGGCTGGGCAGGAACATGCTTTCTCCTCAGAACCTGGGACAGTCTGCCCTGGGCATGTGTGTGAGTCTCCTTTTCCTGCTCAGTCCATCATGGCACTCATCAGGACCATGCTTTCTCCTAGAAATATGTTCTTATCAGGAGTGGTGCTGGACAAATGATGGTGTAGACCAAGGTACAGAGTCATCCTCCATCCTCCAAATTGAATCGGAAGCTGCTTTTAAAATAGAGTCTCTTCAGATAAAACACAGCCTGAAAAACCATTGTATATAGAATACAGACCAACTAGAGCAGGACACAGCTTGATCTCCACAATCGGTTTCTACCACATGGCAATATGGTAGGCCCTTGCCATGTGCTTGTCCTCTTCAGGTGAATTTTGTTTGACCCTGTAATTCTGTACTAGACCATTAACCACCTCAGTTGTATGGTGATGTCCAGTGAGAACTGCATGCCTGGTTGCAGGTCTCTGGGACCTCTGCTTAGAGCCCCCTTCCCACCTTAGAACTGATGCATTCTTTTATAACCAGTTATTGGTGTTACTCATTTTAGATGAAAACGAACCACATATTCAGCCTAAGCATCAGTTTCCAGGACACTGGAATGCGGTTGTCTTTGTAACCTTCCTTTGTATGGCTTGCTTTCTGCTCCAGTATTAGTCTCAGGGTAACATACTGACAAAGGGAAACAAAGTCCTTAAGTCATCTTATTATGTGGACATCCATTCTTTCCTCCTACCTCTGTCTCTCTGCCTTCCCTTTCTTAGAATTTCCATATTGCCCAACCTATACTTGAACTCACTATGGAATCAAAGAATGACCTGAATTCCTGACCTCTTGATGCTATCTCTGCCACCTCCCCCCCGCAAGTGCCAGCATTGTAGGCCTGTTGTCATTTGGGTTTTATTTCAAATGAATGAAAAAGGGATAAGCCTGGCTACTCAACAGGCTGAAACAGAAAGATCACAGGTGCAGTGCCTACTTGGGCTAAGAATGAATTCAAGAACGAGTTGAACCACTTACTGAGACCCCTGTCTTAAAACAAAAAAGGGGCTAAGGATACAGCTCTGTAGTAGGGCGCATGCTAGCATGCTCCTTCAGGTTCAATTCCTGCCCCAACAAAAGCCAGATAAGGTGGTACATGTGTAATACACTTGGGAGACTGAGGCATAAGGATGGTACGTTTGAGGCCAATATAGTATCAACAATTCCTGGAAAGAGGCTGTGTTTGTAGAGGCTTGTTGGCTGATTAAAACTATAGTGATATGAAAATTTTGGAATGCTTCACTTGGACTAGCTTTAGCCCCATGAATAACCATTCCTTGTCCACCTCTGTATTGGAACATCTTGTGACTGATAGATTAAAACCTTTTAGAATCTATTAATTAGTAGGTCATTAGCTTCCACCATTCCAAAACTAAGAATGTCATCAGATAATATTTCAGACCAATGGGAGAATTCCCCCCATCTTTCTGTAACCATCTCTCTGGTGTACACATCAAGTGTATTTTAAACTTGCCTTGTATGGCTTTGTTTGGTAAAACTATTAAACTTCTTAAGCCTGGAGGTGTTAGCATACATCTTTAATCCCAGCACCCAGATGACAGAGGCAAATGGATCCCTGTGAGTTCAAAGCCAGTCTGGTCCTCAGAATGAGTTCCAGGACAGGCTTTAAAGCTACACAGAGAAACCTTGCCTCAAAAAAACAAACAAAAACCTTCTTGAAACTTCTTCCATATTGGAACATGGAATTTGGGGTAACCTAAACCTGTGTTCCCAGGCTACACTCACTCAAATATGGCCCTGAATAAATTATCTCTTATTCCCTTTAAGGTGAGAATTAGGTTTTTTGTGTCAACAGTTAGGTACTTTATGAGACCCTGCCTCAGAGTAATAGTATAAATCAGAGAGTATATGTACACGACATAGCCACATATACACAGCCACACATCTACATATACAACAGAGTACAGATACATAGTCCCCCCCCCACACACGTGCACACACACACACACACACACACACACACACACACACACACATATATATACCACAGGCACACATGTACATTTACATAAATATCCACACAGCATACATAGCATATGTAGTATACATCTATTTATAAATACATGCCCACATTAAAACATAGCACAAGCATGTCACACTAGACTCTGTCTGCAGTATACATCTCTTGAACACCATTAAAAACACAGACTTGAATAAGGTCCCAACAGAACTCAAATTATTACATTTTGGTCCTTTAATTAATGCATATCTGTGACCTGATTTACTGGATTCTTATTAACTGGGGCAGTTAAAATCAGTTGGTGAGTCTGGCGAGCCCAGCTTCAGGTGAGATTGGGTCTCTGGGGGGAAACACTCCTCATCCCCTGCCCAACACCCATCCCCTCGATCTTCCGGGGCCACTCCTGGCATCCAGAAGACCCGCCCACACAGGAAAGACATCAGCCCTTCCAGGATCCAAACCCCGGTGAGCCCAGCTTCAGGAAAGACATCAGCCCTTCCAGGCCTCAAACTCCAGTGAGCCCAGCTTCAGAAGACCCGCCCACACAGGAAAGACATCAGCCCTTCTAGGCCCCAAACTCCTGCGAGCCCAGCTTCAGGAAAGACATCATCCTTCCAGGCCCAACCTCCGGCAACCCCAGCTTCAGCTTAAGCTTCAGTGTCAACATCCCCAGCTTCAGCTTCAGGAAGGAAGGAGACCAGTGGAGACGGAAAGACCCCACCTGCACCCACTGGAAGAAGAGAAGGGAAGAAGACAGAATAAGAGCTCACTCAGCAATAGAAAGACCAACATGACTCCACCAGAATCTAGAGAACCAACGCCAGCAAGACCTGAAAAGCACTACATAGATGAAGCAGAGGAGACAGACCTTAAGAATTATTTTATGAAGATAATAGAGTCCCTCAAAAAAGAAATGAGGAAATACCTTAAAGAAATAGAAGAAAAAACAAACAAAAAATCCATGAATTGGGGGAACATTCAAGAAATAAACAAATTTCTCAAAGAATCTAAAGAGTACCAAGATAAAACAACCAAACAAATGAAGGAAACAATTCAAACAGTTGAAGGATTGAAAGCTGAAATAGAAATGATAAAGAAAACACAGAATGAGGGGATGCTGGAAATAGAAAAGCTGGGTAAACAATCAGGAACTACAGATGCAAGTATCACCAATAGAATACAAGAGATAAAAGAGAGAATCTCAGGTGTCGAAGACTCATTAGAGGATATAGAGTCATCAACAAAGAAAATCTCAAAACCAACAAATCCTTAACACAAAATATCCAGGAAATATGGGACATCGTGAAGAAGCCAAACCTGAGAATAATAGGTATAGAAGAAGGCAAAGAAGGCAAAGAAATACAACTCAAAGGTACAGAAAACATATTCAACAAAATCATAGAAGAACATTCATTAACCTAAAGAAAGATATGCCTGTGAAAATACAAGAATCTTACAGAACACCAAATAGGCTGGACCAGAAAAAGAAGTCACCATGCCATATAATAATCAAAACATCAAACCTACAGAATAAAGAGAAAATATTAAGAGCAGCTAAAGAAAAAGGCCAAGTAACATACAAAGGCAGACCTATCCGAATTACACCTGACTTCTCAATGGAAACAATGAAAGCCAGAATATCCTGGGTAGATGTCCTACAAACACTAAGGGAACAAGGATGCCAGCCCAGACTACTATATCCAGGAAAGCTTTCAATTACCATAGATGGAGAAAACAAAATATTCCATGACAAAGCCAGATTTAAATAATATGTATCCATGAATCCAGCTCTACAGAAAGTGCTAGAAGGAAAACCTAGATCCAAGGAAGATAACTACACTCACAAAGACACAGCCAATATATAATCCCACTTTACAAAACACCAAAAGAAAAAGGGAGGAGAAAATACACAAAATAACTTCACTAACGATAAATCAAGCACAAACAAGAATCATCAATCAATGGTCATTGATATCCCTCAATGTCAATGGCCTCAACTTGCCTATAAAAAAGACACAGACTAGCAGAATGGATACGAAGACAGAACCCTTCCTTCTGCTGCAAACAAGAAACACATCTCAACATCAAAGACAGACGTTATCTCAGAGTAAAGGGTTGGGAAAAGATCTTCCAATCAAACGGTCCCAAGCAACAAGTGGGTGTAGCAATCCTAATATCTAACAAACTAGACTTCAAATTAAAATCAATCAAAAGAGATGAAGAAGGACACTTCATATTCATCAAAGGAAAAGTCCATCAAGATGAAGTCTCAATTTTAAACATCTACGCCCCAAATACAAAGGCACCTACATTCGTGAAAGAAACATTACTAAAGCTCAAAATGCACATAAAATCTCACATACTAATAGTAGGAGACTTCAACACTCTGCTCTCACCATTAGACAGGACTTCCAGACAGAAACTTAACAAAGAAACAAAAGAACTAATAGAAGGTATGACCCAACTGGGTTTAACAGACATACACCTATAGAACTTTCCACCCAAACACAAAGGGATATAACTTCTTCTTGGCGCCACATGGAACCTTCTCTAAAATTGACCACATAATAGGAAACATAGCAAATCTCCACAGATACAAAAAAATTGGAATAACCCCCTGTAAATTATCAGACCGCCATGCAGTAAAATTAGAATTCAACAAAACACAAATCACAGAAACCCTACAAACTCATGGAAATTGAACAATGCACAATTGCACCATCCCTGGGTAAAGGAAGAAA